GTGTTTTGGTTGAAGGGGTGATGACAAGACCATTCATTTGTCAAAACTCAAAGATACTTAAAACGGGGAATTTTACTGTATGTAAGTTATTCCTCAAAAAAAGTTTTTAATTTAAAGACTTAAAAATATGTAAAACAATACATTATTGGAAAACAGAAAATTAAGAATTCCGTTTCCGCTTCACTAGATAAAAAGCTGTGTAAATAAACTCATTTCCATTTGGCCAGGTGATGCCTCACCTTCTCCTGACTGATTTCTGGCCTCTATGGAATTAAAAAATATACACCTGTCAGGACTATCCACCTGTCTGCATCCATCCATCCAAACATCTGCAGTCACCCTACTCGTTGCAATAAATGGTAAGGACAATGTTTAAAAAGCAACTGCCGCTCTTGTTTGGAAATGGGTCCATATCACCAAGGGTGGCATGTCACCCAGATATAAGACCAAACAAGCCCCAAACAAACTCGAGAGTCAGACAGACGAGTTCCACAGTGGCTGAGTCCTGCCACGCTCCACGTGACCCCATCTGCTGTCCAGGTGGAAGGAAACCGGGTGTAGTCAGACCTGAGACTCCTTGCTGCCTCCTTCCCGTCTCCCAAGCCTTGCTTGGCCACTGCAAAACTGGGGTCTTATTGGTTCTGCTCCCATGTCACCTGGGCATGCAATTGCGCTGGTCACTCTGCGGAGGAAGCCTGGCAGGTTCCACAGCATGAGTCACGTGCTGCTTCCAGAGGCTCTGGAACAAAGACCGGGTGACAGGACCACAGAGAGATGCTGACTTGCTCTTTGGGGTTGAACCACCCAGAATAAAATGCGAGGGTCAGGCTACTGAGAGAATCTTTGGTTTGTTGAACATCCGTGGAAGAAGGAAAGACACACAGGCTGGAGAGCAGGTGGCCTCTGGGGCCGATGCTCCTGTGCCACTCCCGAGATTCTGTTTCTGAGGGTCTGCGAGTGGGGGAGGGGGTGTTCCTGAATCTGTTCTTTTTACAAGCTCCCTAGAAGATCCCTAGCCCCAAAGAGATTTATGAGTCCCTGTGGTTGAGGGCCTTGAATGTCCGGTGAGGGAGCTGGGCCTGCACCTCCAGATGGTGGGATCAGAGGAAGGCCAGGGTGTCACATGTCAAGACTTGAGTAAGGCCACATGGCAGGAGAAGGGAACACTTTGGCCCAGGCAGATGCAGCCACTGGTGACCCATCGAGAAGCACATACACAGGTGAGAGGGTCCAGGGAGTCTGCCCAGCCTGCCTCTAGCGGGAAGCAGCCCCACAGGGACTGGGTGCCAGCCGTAGTTGCACAGAGGTGGATCACCATGTGTTCTGTCAAAAGCCGGGCTCTCCCTCCGTCCACAGCTGCCTGACGGCGGCTGCAACAACTGCGTTCTATCCCTAGGGCATCTCCCCTTCCTCCCACCCAGCTCCTTGTGCCTCTCATCGAAAGCACCGCTACACCCTACTGTGCTTCTCACACTTTCCTTAAAAATGGCTTGCATTTTACTTCGAGTGTCTCCTAGGCAATCGGATGCTAGTAATCAGCTGTAACATGGGGCTGTATCTAGGATATTGTATATCCACATCCTTGGGATCACATTCTAAAATTGCGGGCACCTGAAGTCAAAACAGAGTGAGGTCAGCAATCATGGCCACGTTTCAGGGAGGCTGTGGAGCTCTGAAGTCATGTGGAGCTGACCCTGGGGACTCCGGTGTTTGTCCAGGGGGTGAGTGTGCTGGGGAGCTGGCGGCTCAATTGGGTACATCCATCGATGAAACTCTCTGACTCCTTCCGCCTCCTCGGAAGACTTTCGAATACCAGATTTTTTTCAGGGGTTGCAGGCAGGAAGCTGCAGACTACTCACTGGTGCTCTGCCGCAGAGACAGAACAGGCATATTTGCTCCTGTATCCACTTTAAATCAGGCTTTGAACTCCAGGGGAGCTGAATCTAACTCCTATACAATCGGTAAATCTGGGCATGCCTGTGTAACAAGAGCATTATTTAACTGACACAATGGTTGTTTTTATCTAATAGAAAAATCCTTGGATCACTGTTAAAATCGAGTCTGTATTCACAGATAATTTTAGCACCGCAAGCTCTCCCTGTTGCGGCGAGGAGGTTCTCATGCTGTGGCAATGCCAGATGAGCTTCTTCCCACACACAAGTATGTGTTTAAATTGTCACGCAGCCATTAGGTGAAGGGCTACCCTGGAAAAGCAAGAGAAAACACATCTTTTTCTGTGGAATCTAGTGACCCACGGGGACTGAGTTAAAGTCACCCATTGTTGCTGGGCACCACGGCTCACTCCTGTAATCCTATCACTTTGGGCAGCGGCGGGCCTACTGCTTGAGCCCAGGAGTCCAAGACCAGCCTGAGTAACATGGCAAGACCCCATCTCTACAAAAAATACAAAAATTAGTCAGGCATGGTGGCACACACCTGTAGTCCCAGCTACTCGGGAGGCTGAGGTGGGAGGATCGCCTGGGCCCAGGAGTCAGAGGCTGCAGGGAGACGGCACCACTGTACTGCAGCCTGCGTAACAAGGCAAGACTCTGTCTCAAAAAAAAAAAAAGTAAGTCATTGTCTAGTATGTTATTTTCTGCCATTTTACTACTTCTGATAGTTCAGGGCTTAGGGTATGATTATAGCAATTACCAGAATGAGTCTGTTAATCAGCAACCTTTGGACTCCTGTACACACGGTCATACTTCGTTAAGAGGAACAATAGCGGCGTGTGTTGAGGCGCCCAGTCGCTCCCGAGAGGAGCTTTTCACAGCCTTTCTACATGAACTCTGCAGCCAGCTGCCGTCCACTGTGGTGCAATTTTTTTTGTTTGAGACAGGGTTTTGCTCTGTCACTCAGGCTGGAGCGCAGTGGTGCAAGCAGCCTCAACTTCCCAGGCTCAAGTCATCCTCCCACCTCAGCCTCCTGAGTACTGGGACCACAGTCAATGCCACTGCACCCAGCTAAGTTTTTAAATTTTTATTTTCTGCAGCGATGGGGTCTCTGGGCTCAAGCTGTCCCCCTGCTTTCGTCTCCCAAAGTGTTGGCACCTGGTCTCAATTAAGATTTTTTATTTTTTTGAGACAGGGTCTTAATCTGCTGCCCAGGCTGGAGTGCAGTGGGCTCATTAAGGCTCACTGCAGCCTCAGCCTCCCTGGCTCAGGTGATCCTCCCATCTCAGCGTCCTGAGTAGCTGGGACTACAGGTGCACACCACCACATTGAGCTAATTTTTGTATTTTTTGTTGTTGTTATTGTTGTTAAGGTTCACCATGCTGCCCAGGCTGGTCTTGAACTCCGGGGCTCAAGCAACCCTGCCTGCCTTGGTCTTCCAAAGTGCTGGGATCACAGGCACCAGCCACGAGGCCCAGACTAATTAAATTTGTTGATGGCACTTTTTGTCCTGACAAAGCGCCCTGCGCATCCCATATAGTACTCTCTCTGCCATGCACGGAAAAATAAACATATGCATCTTAAATTGCTAAATTGTACATACTTTAAAAGATAATGATTTAAAGTAATCAGGTTCATAAACACACCCATGCCTCATACAGGGTACAAAAGTTGCTAAACACAGCATAAACTAGGCTGCCGCTTAAAACCTGCGTTCATCTGATACTCTCAAATACAAATAAACTGCAATGGAAGTGAGGAGATGCAGAAAGTCAATTTGATAAGCCAGATGTCCCAAGGCATGAATGGAACAGATTTCAGCGGAAATGACAACGCCCATTAACCCATTAATGACTAATAGTCATAAGGAATGCATTTACGAGGACTCTTCAATGGTTATCAGAAAAAATTAAACATTTACTCTGGAAATAATATCTGGAAACTATCTTGCCATTTTAGAAAGGCAGGCTGTCAAACTTTATCATATAAAACGACCAGATTCGTCAGGGCTGTCTATCCAGCCTTTCCAGTGGCTGATCTCAAACAATAGAGGCTGTTAACATGCATCAGCCAGGTCTCAGGATTGTTTAAAAGCCACCCTTTATATAGTAAAACTGTTGTCAAACAATGTTGTAATTTAAACACCCCCTCCCTGCAAAACAGAAATGTTAAGCTGTGCAAGGGGTGTACATTCTGGAATTATTTCCTGCTGGATCTCAGAACTATTTTAAGCAAATCATGTCACTCACTAAACATTCACGAACTCAGAGCCAACTAGTGTCCTCACTCCTAGGTTTGGCAAAGGTCCCTTCTCTTCCTTGGCAAGGAAAAAATTTTCTCTTTCCGTATCATAGAATTCATAAAATTGCCAAGACTTGGCTATAACTTTGCGTTCTTATTAGCCTCGAATAATAAACCTGTCTCAATATTGGAAAAGACAGAAGCGACTGCCCTCTTGTGGGCACTGTTGTCACTGCTTCTATTTTGGAATCAAATGCACTAACAGTGTATTCACCTTCTTGCCGGGTGTGGGTGAGACTCACGCACGTAACCGAGTAGGTATTGCCTATCTCCTCTGAATTTTGTTCTCCATCTCAGCAGGTGTTACACACATGGAACAATGCAACTATTTATAAAAGTGTGTTTATAAAGAGCTTTTTTTTTTTTTTTTATGTACTCCATTAAAAAGCATCTTCCATCCACTCTCACCATTTTTCTTTAACTTTGGAGGTTGTATTAGTTTCCTAATTGATATGGTTTGGTTATGAATTTTTTTTTTGAGACAGAGTCTTGCACTGTTGCTCTGGCTGGAGTGCAGTGGCGCAATCTCAGCTTACTGCAACCTCCGCCTCCCGGTTCAAGTGTTTCTCCTGCCTCCGCCCCCACCCCAGGGTAACTGGAATTACAGGTGCCCACCACCATGCCAGGCTAATTTTTAGTAGAGATGGGGTTTCAGCATGTTGGCCAGGCTGGTCTCAAACTGCTGACTTCAGGTCATCCACCTGCCTCAGCCTCCCAAAGTGCTGGGATTACAGGAGTGAGCCACTGCACCTGCTCTAGGAGCTTTATTTATTTATTAACTGTGTTTAGATACCAACTGGTCTTGCATTTTCAAACATGATTCTTATGTTATCTGTTCTTGAAATTAAAATACAGTTGGTTGTAGTAAAATACACATGATGTAGTTTGGATATCTGTCCCTGCCCAAAGCTCATGTGGAATTGTAGTCCCCAATGCTGGAGGCAGGGCCTGGTGGGAGGTGGCTGGATCATGGGGGCGATTTCTTCCGAATGGTTTAGCACCGTGTGCTTGGTGCTGTCCTCACGACAGTGGCAGTCCTCACGGGATCTGGTTGTTAAGAAGTGCGCGGCACCTCCCCTCTCACTCCTTTCACCATATGACAAGCCTACTCCCCCTTCGACTTGACTGTAACTTTCCCGAGGCCTCCCCAGAAGCCGGGCAGATGCCAACATCATGGCTCCTGTACAGCCTGTGGAACTGCGAGTCAGCTAAAATTCTTTTCTTTATAAATTACCCAGTTTCAGGTATTTCTTTACAGCAATGTGAGAAAGGACTAAAACAACATAAAATTTATCATTTTAGCTATTTTTAAATGTATGGTTCAGCGGGATAATTAGGTAGATTCACATTGTTGTGTGGCCATCACCATTGCTGATCTCCAGAACTCTTTGTCCCCGATAAATTGTGTATCCATTAAACACTAACTCTGCATTCTCCCCTCACCCCTCAGTGCTTGCCAACCATCACTTTACCGTCTGTCTCTATGAATCTGACTACTCTAGATACCTCCTATAAGGTATTTGTCCTTTTGTGACTAGCTGATTTCACTCAGCATAATGTCCTCCAGGTTCACCCATGTTGCAGCACGTTTCAGGCCTTCCTTCCTTTTTAAGGCTGCATAATATTCCACTGCATGTATACACCATATTTTGCGTAACCATTCACCTGTCAATGGAATGTGGGTTGTTTCCACCTTTATAATGCTGCTATGAACATGGGTGTGCAAACACCTCTTGGAGGCCCTGCTTTTGGTTCTTTTGGGTATCCAGTCTATCTGGAAGTGGGATTGGTGGGTCATATACTAGTTCTATTTTCATTTTTTTTTTTTTTTGAGAAACTGCCATACTACCTTCCACAGTGGCTGTGCCATTTCACATTCCCACCAACAGTGCACAGAGGTTCCAATTTCTCCACATTCTCTCCAGACAAAGAAGGCATTTTTAAGGACCAGTACTGATATATAACAAAGATAACAATTTTAAGTCATTTCATTTTATTGAATTATGTAAAACATCTATAAATAACAGTAAAAAAATAAACCATTGCAAAAATTCAAACAGTTACAATGATGGCATACTACAGCCCACAGAATTTAAATCTTACGTGAGTTGAGTTGAATTATTTGCTGGTACATAGAGAATATAATGCTCTTCCTGCTGGGAAATTATTTCCACATATTCACATTGTATAGAGCTTCTAAATTTGTGATATTTTCAGTAACAGATCCATATCTTAAGAATCTGAATTTAGGACCTATCGATGATCTTAAAATACAGGGGTAGAGAGACGTTTGCAGCAAAAGAAACTGCTGAACTAAGCAAAGAAGAAAAATCTGGCTCCATATAAAGATAGATACTAATTTCAAGTGCTAAAGGGGCATCTCTCATGCTGCTCGAGGGTGGGAAAAATCTTGTCAACTGGCAACAGAGAAATACTCACTAATCATTGGGCATTATGAAAAAGTACAAATTCCTTACAGGTTCATGTTTTCATTATCTGATTTTTATGTTTCTTCTCACTCTGCCAATTATTTTAAAAATATAAAAAAAGTAGCTTTAGCAGAAAAAAGCGTTATGAAGTGAAATACTAATAAGCAATAATGGAATGTAACCAGGACAATTTCATGCCTGCCAAGGAACATAATTAAAAGATACTATAAAAATATAAAGGTGGACTTTGCTACCGATACCAAAGTAAAATGGATTTATTCCTTATTTTTTAGCCTAGTCTAGTTTTTCATTCCCTACTCAGTTTTCCCTTTTATAACACTACAGCACTTTTTTGATCGAATTTAGAACTAATTAAAAGCATTATGGTAGCTTTGAATTTTGTAGAAAATTCATTTGTATAAAAAATATAAAATTCATTTTTAACGTTTAAAATCATACTATTAGAAATATCATGGGTGTACACAGTGCAACATAAAAATGTCCAGCTTTGGCTGTTAACGCACTAGCTGATCTAGACTACTTTGAAGTGACTATTACCCAAAAATCATTACTCATTCATTGTGGACCACCTTGCCAATACCAAGGAATAAATTCATAGGTTTGAGGTGTTACCCTCTCGTTCAAGGTTTAAGATTTGATAAAATACCTGCAATGTTTCTTTGAAATATCCAGCTAAAAACAGGAAAACAATTCTAGGCACTACCTTAAACTTGCATTCATTCATTGTCATGAACTTAATGGTTTCAAAGCAAATGCTAAACATTTCTAAATTGCTTTAGGAATTAGGGGCAGTGAACAGGCAGCCTGAATCTCTCACTTATCCATCGTGTTGAGGAGCATTTCACAGGTCACCGCATCCACGTCCTCTTTGACTCTCGCTGTGGTTTCTCCACAGGCGACAGGCAGCGTCTCCCCTGGGAACTGTTCTCCCTTCGTGGTGGAAGCCTTCTCAGCAGCAGCTGCTTGAGAAGAATCCCAGGATGAGCAAATTTATCAGAAAGCCAAGGAACTGGAAATAATCAACTGTGCAAACATATTTTGGAAACTATCACTTAAATTTTAACACAGCAGCAAGCACGTTAGAAAGCGATCTAACTGCAAAGACAGTACTAGTCTCATCTAACCACTGCCTCCAGTCAGGGTTTCTCAGCCTCAGCACTACAGATGTTTGGGGCCAGAGAGCTGTCTGCTGGGGGCGGGGTGCTGTTCTGGGCAGTGTAGGATGTTGGCAGCGACCCTGGCCTCTACCACTAGATGCCAGTAGCACCCTTCTTTCCAGCTGCAGAAACCATAAAAATGTCTGGAGACATTTGGCTGTTGCCAACTGTCACTCCCAGTTGGCAACAGCTGCTGTAGGTGAAGGAGGAACTTGCAGATTTCTATCGAGGTGGATCATAGAGGTTGGTATCGTGGCTGAGCTGCTCACCTAAGTCTCATCCCGGTGCCCATGGAATGACGCTGCCTACATGAAGCAAGCCAGCTGCTCACAGGACATTGGTCCCTTTGGCCAATCAACATATACCTAGTACTGATTCTGGGTCACGCATCCTGCTAGGGATGCTGGGGCCAACGCCAGGTGTGTACCTAGAACCTGCTCCCCCTCCAGCAGCTCAGGAGCCAGTCTACACAACTTGGAGAGTTTAAGATCATCAGGCATTAGATTCTCATATGGAGCGTGCAACCTAGATCCCTCGCGTGTGCAGTTCACAACAGGGTGTGCGCTCCTACAAGAATCTAACGCCACTGATCTGACAGGAGGTGGAGCTCAGAGGGTCATGAGAGCAATGGGGAGCGGCTGTCAATACAGATGAAGCTTCCCTTGCTCACCCACCACTCACCTCCTGCTGTGAGGCCCGTTCCTAACAGGCCACAGGTCCATGGCCTGGGGGTTGGGAACCTCTGCTCTATTTATCTTCCAAATTACTTCCCCAAACCCCCATAGAGCGCCACACTGAAGAACGCTATTGCCTCATGCCAGTTTTAAGTTGTCTGAAGATATTTTTGCCTGTGCTTCCTTGAAGTATTTCTGGGTGGGGGATGGCGGGGGACAAGAAGAACCAGTTCTTAGATATGAAAAGAAACACTTAGACCCACAAAACAGGCCATCAGGCCAGGCACAGTGGCTCACACCTGTAATCCCATCACTCTGGGAGGTCGAGGTGGGCAGAGGCACTTGAAGTCAGGAGTTCAAGACCAGCCTGTGCAAGATGGTAAAACCCCATCTCTACTAACAAAATACAAAAATTAGCCAGGCGTGGTGGCAGGCACCTGCAATCCCAGCTCCCTGGAAGACTGAGGCATGAGAATCACCTGAACCCAGGAGGCAGAGGTTGCAGTGGGCCAAGATCACACCTGAGCTACAAAGTGAAACTCTGTCTAAAACACACACACACACACACACTGGTGCCATCAGATAGTAACGTGTCGAGATCCATCAATGAACTGGAAAGGTGCTGCACACTGGTGCACCCGCAGAGCAGATGCAGAAGTGAGGCAATTATCCGGATAACACAGGCTGTAAAAACCCTGAAATGCAAATGCAGTCATATTTTTTGCCAGGTTATTTGCCTTGATTCTCACTTGCTTTGGATATCACCACTGACCATAAAACATATGAAAAAAGTCTGCATATTGAACGATACCATTCCTATCAGCAGTTTTTAAGCCTACAAGAGCCTTCTCAACTCCTCTTCACAGCAAAAATGTCACCGACTGAGGGTGACATTTTCAAAATTCACCCCAAATCATTTGGTCTTCTAGAGATTTCATTTAAGAAATAATTTAAAAAAAACCCACTATATTGAAGTGTGAAGATGGGGAGAACTGCAGAGGTGGCTTTAGGTGTCCAATGAGTGCAGAAGTCACATTTCCCGTGGACATTTTAGGATCTGACCTAACTTAGGGTGCAGGCAGCCAGTAACCTGGCCTTGGATCTCCACAGTTCGAGCGGACCAACTGTGAGTCACATTTCACTGGTCTGTCTTCTCCAGTAAAGGACTGTGCGTATTATTCACTTGTTTATTCAATAAGTGGTCGCTTCACGAGCACTGCTAAGGCCAGGCCTGGCACCAGGAGCTGGGGACAGACCAAATGGGCCAGGCCCACCTGGGAGGAGCCTGCAGTGGGCTGCAGGTGGAAGTCTGGTGCTTATTAAATAACCAAATAAGCGCGAAGTGCACAGGAGGGGCAGCAGCAGGGGACCAGGTGGGCGGTCGCGCCAAGTGCTTTTATTTTTCTGAAGACACGGAGCATGTTTAAGGCTGATGGGAAAGGGCAGGCCAGGAGGGATGAGTTGGCCGAGGAGGGTGAATGGGGGTCATAAAGCTGCCGATCTGGGGGGTGGGTTCCAGACTCGGAATAGCCTCAGATGGGAAGGGTGGCTCCTCCAGCCCCTTCCTCCATTAAAAAATATGAAAATTGATATTTTACATCATTGATATAAAGACAAATGGAATCCAGGCTGCATCCATTACTTGATACCCATCAGTGTGACACTGATTTTTCTTCGGATCTGACCCTATGAGCCCTGTGGACAGCCCTGTGCCCGTGAGGCTGTATGGAGAAGCCCCAGGAGCTGGCAGAGGATGGTGAGAACTCAGGCTGGGAGTGAGAGGAAACAGGAGTGCCAGGGGCAGCGGGCAGCAGAGCCCATCTGCTGGTGCAGAGTCAGCGAGGCCTCCACCCAGAGGGAGGGAGGCAGGGGCTGGGAGTTAGGGATGAAGGAGCTCATTGGAAATCAGTAGAAAATTTTTGATGCTGAGGTCCAGAATGAGGTCTCTGGGGTCTGGTCACAGCCTCACCCTCCAGGACCTGCGTGCCTGAGCAGGCTCGTCCTCACCCTGTGGTATAGCTCTCTCTCCACCAGACAGATGATATTGCCCTCTGCAGAGGGCTGTGGTCAGGATAAGAAGGGACTCACATGCGCTGTCAGTGGTAACTGCTGATCCCTGGAGGAGAAAGGAGGGTGCTGATTCTGGAGAGTTCCAGCTGAGCTGAGCAACGGGGCACTGCCTGGGACCCCTCAGTCTCGCCATTGTCCTGACAGACAGGGCCTGGCTGTGTGACGCAGGCATGGGAAAGGCAGGCCTTGGGCACACTGAGGCTTAGGGATTTGCCAGATGGTGAGACACACTGAAAGAGTGGGCCAGTGTGGCCTGTGGACAGAGCGGCTGGAACCAGGGACCCAGAACTGACTCCGCACAGAGGTAGCAGGAAGGACTGCAGGATGCCTGCTTCTACGTGAGTTTCAGATACATGATGGACATTTTTTTTTAGTATAAGTATATCCCAAATAATGTGTGGGACACATTCAAACAATTATTCACTGTTTATCTGAAATTCAGATTGAGCTGGGCATCCTCTATCTGATCTGGCAACTCTTGAGGGATGCAGGTGGAGGGCAGCCATTGTATGGTAAATTCTCAAGGCAGGGACTGAGGCTGGAATCAGAACGGGGGGCATGTGCTCGTGCCGTGAGGTTGGACGGTCTCCAATCATCTCGGGTTCTAAGGTCCTCACAGGAAAGGAGTGGCGAAGCTAAAGAGAGCAGGTGTTCACCTGTGCAGGTGTCGGGTCTGCCCCTCTTACAGCAGAGCCATGCACACGACACACAGGACAGGGCCCAGCTTCGCGACAACCTGGAAACTCACTTCAGCTCCCTGAGGCCAGAGGGGGAAGACTGTGATGGCTCTGGGGGCTGGGTGGTGGTCCCTAAAAGGATATGTCCATATCCTAAGCCCCATAGCTGACCTCCTTCTTTCAAAAGAAGTCCTAAATTCCTAAATCCTAAGTGACAAATGTCTTTGTAAGAGGCAGAAGAGAAGGCCCAGACATAGAAGAGAGGAGAGAGCTACAAAAAGATGAAGGCACAGACTGGAGGATGTGGCCATAAACTGAGGGACGCCGGAGCCACCAGAGCTGCAAGAGGCCAGGAAGGACCCTCCCCTAGGTCCCCAGAGGGAAGGCGGCCCTGCCCACACCTGGATTGAGGATTTCTGGCCTTTAGAGCTATTTGAAAATCCATTTCTGTTGTCCCAAGCCACCCAGCTTGTGGTCATCTACTGCAACAACCCAGGACAGTCCCCGTAGCTGCAGGCGACAGTGCAATGCGATGGAAGAGGGCTCCTGGGGGTGGGGGTTGCACGTGGACCGGCATGGGGCTCTCACACTGACTTTCTCACGCTATGCTCACTGCCATTCTGAGAGGCCTGGCACAAGCCACCTGGTAGGAGCAACTGGTGGACAAACAGGGGCTCTGGACACGTCCGCTGCACAGTAACAGTCGGCACCCAGGACATTTACAACCAGAAAATCACTGTCGTGTTAAAAACAAATCCGCATAAAATCAGTACCGTCTCTCCTCGCGGCCTCCTTCGCGACAGTCTGCTTCCTCTTCCTTGTTCTTCCTTTTCCTGAAGCAGCTGCCTTTGCTTGCCCTGAGCCACACTTCTCCAAGTGTCTATGCATGTTACTCTGCCGGAGAATTGACACAGAACACACAAGGCCAGTGAGATGGAGCAGGGACCCCCTTCAGGGGTCTGGGGGGACCCCCAAACATGGAAATAAAGGAAAATCCTGAGTTCTTTTGAAGGAAACTCCAGGTACTTTGCTAGCCCTAAGGAGTGAATGAGAAACCTGATTAGCAAGAAGGAGGCTGGGCATGGTGACTCACACATGCAATCCTAGTGCCTTAGGGGCCAAGGAGGGAGGGCCGCTTGAGCCCAGGAGTTGGAGACCAACCTGGCAACACAGTGAGACCCCATCTCTACAAAAGATACAACATAAAAAAAATTAGCCCGCTGTGGTGGCATGTACCCTGAGATCCCAGCTACTCATGAGGCTGAGGTGGGAGGATCGCTTCAGCCCGGGAGGTCGAGGCTGCCGAAAAAAAAAAAAAAGGAAAATAGAAACCGAAAACAACAGCCAAGGAAGCTAAACTCAGGTGTTTGATGCCCTTACAGAAACCTAAGGTAACAGCTGCTTTTTGAGATGGAGTCTCGCTCTGTCCCCCAGGCTGGAGTGTGGTGGCACGATCTTGGCTCACTGTAACCTCTATGTCCTGGGTTCAAGCAATTCTCTTGCCTCAGCCTTCCAAGTAGCTGGGACTACAGGTGAGTGCCACCACACCCAGCCAATTTTTATATTTTTAGTAGGAGACAGGGTTTCACTATGTTGGCCAGGCTAGACTCAAACTCCTGACCTCCAGTGATCCACCTGCCTTGGCGTCCCAGAGTGCTGGGATTACAGGTGTGAGCCACCGCACCGGGCAAGGTAGTATCTTAACATCTGTCCCTGAGTTGTTTTTTAGAAACCTCGATCTTTACCAAACAGATCCCCTGGCAGGTAGACCTAAGATAAGGGGGAACTGGGGGCTGAAATCTGACCATTGCTAAATCTGTTCTAATTTTGTTCTTAATTTCCTCCTGAGAGGCCTGGAGGGACAGGTCATGCCCAAGAACCAGAGCTAACATTCTTTTCTGTTGACCCCGAAATTTTAAACAAAACTTCTCTTCCTTAACCAATTGCAAACCAGAGTCTCTGAATCTACCTACAACCTGTAAGCCCCTGCTGCAAGGTATCTGACCCTTTCAGGGCAATGTATCCTGCATGCACGGATCTACGATTTCATCTGTAGTTTCTGCTTGCTTGGCACACTGCAAATAAACACCTTCCTTTCTTCTGCTGCAAACTGCGGTGTGGATATCTGGTCTTACTGCACCAGGCAAGCACATCCCAGTTTGGTTCTACGACAAGAGATGGCTTCCCCAAATTCACTGAAAAATGCACAAAGAGGCAGGCTTTGGGAAAACTGTGGGTAGCATGGACCTTTGATAACCTTGTACAAAAATGATGGCTGCTAAAGGTGGCCCTTTCTGTTGTGTTTAGGTCTAGTCAAATACTAGCCTGCTTTAAGTCGTTTTTAAATAATAGAAATCAATGAGAAGACAAAATTTATTTTTCTAGAATGCTTCTACTCTTGAAAGCTAAGGCTGATGTTGAACCAAAAATTCAATACATCAGTCAATTTTATAACCATCAACCACATACCATAAAGGTTTTACTATTCTGTTAGCTTCTCTCTCAAAGCTACTGGGCAGAGGTCATGGCTGGCAGTTATGAAACTGTATACAACATTCAGGAATAAAAGTCAAACACTTCCCAGTCAAGCCTATTCATGACACCATCTCATCTAATGAACACTTAGGATAATTTAAGTTAGAAAATTTTCACTTTTTGAAAGGGTCCCAGGCAAAACTGGTAATGGTGTTTAAAGTTGAAATCATACAAAACATCTTGCCTGGTTCCCATTTCGACTTTCCCACTGTGCTTAACAGGACGGTCTGCGTTTACGATGGAAGGACTAAGAATTCATGCGTTAAGTGGGGGCGATGTAACAGGTTGTTTAAACTTCTTCCATTTTATGCTTAGACACTGGGGTTGGCAAATGATGACCAGCGTGTCAAATCTGACTGCCAACTGTTTCTGAAAGAAAGCAAGTTTTGCTGGGACACAGCCAGGCCTATTCATTTACAAACTGCACCCACAGCTGCTTCTGTGATACAAGGGCAGAAACTGATTTGCGTTGCCCTGGTGATTGATGACGCTGTGCTTATTGGCCAGCTGTATGTCTTCTTTGGAGAAAGGTCTATTTAGACACTTTACCTGTTTTTCATTGGGTATCTGTCTATTTACTGAGTTACGAGACTTCTTTTTATATTCTAGATATAAGTCCAAATATGCTTTCTTGAATAGGAGTTCTAAAACTTCTGATTTTATGTTCTGAGGGACAGCATGAAGCAGACTTGTTCTTTTCTCTACATTCTTATTTTTTGCACCAAAGGGCAGTTTCTTCTCTTTATAATTCTACTCGCCAATTTTAACTCTTTACAATTTTAGCATGAGTGACACTGTTTTGGGAGCACTGCCACTGCTTTTATTTGAAAATTTAAACTAATAGGCTTGACATTTCAGAACTATCCCACTGTGCCACTCAGAAAAACACAACTACATTACTGTTTTCTTTTAAGAAGAAAGATTTTTTTTTAATGGTCAACTTCAGAAAATTCAACTTTTTAAAAACTTTTATAAAGTTAGGCTGAAGCCTGCATGGTCCAGGGATCTAGCTAGCCATGTGCAGTGGTTTTTAAATGTCCTGAAATTCTTTGACGCTCTTAATTTCAAAAGAAACTTTATTCCCCACTCCTTGAGTGTGGGTGGGACTCTATGATTCATTTCTTGTGACTAGAAGTAATGTGCCACTTTTTTTTTTGAGACAGAGTCTTGCTCTGTCACCCAGGCTGGAGGCCACTGGTGCCATCTCAGCTCACTGCAACCTCCATTTCCCAGGTTCAAGTGACCCTCCTGTCTCAGCCTCCCAAGTAGCTGAGATTACAAGAATGTACCACCATGCTTGGCTAATTTTTTTTTTTTAGTAGAGACAGGGTTTCACCATGTTGGCCTGGCTGGTCTCAATCTCCTGGCCTCAAATTATCTGCCTGCCTTAGCCTCTCAAAGTACCGCAATTACAGGTGTGAGCCCCCATACCTGGCTGTTGTGCCATTTAAAAGACTAGATTGCAAAAGGCACCGTGGCTTCCTGCTTGCACTCTCTCACTTGCTCTGAGTCAGGAGGACACTCCAGCAGCCCTGCAGAGAAGTCCCTGTGGCAAGGACTGAGAGGCCTGGGCCAGCAGCTGGCGGGTGAAGCTATGCTGGAAGCAGAGCCTCTGGCCCCAGTCCAGCCTTCGGATGATGCAGCCTAGTGGACACCTTGACTGCAACCTCAGGAGTGACCCTGAGCCAGGACCACACAGTTAAGCCGCTCCCAAGTTCCCAACCTGCAGAAACTAACAGATGACAAATGTTTGTGGTTTTAAGCCACTCTATTTTGAGGTAATATGTCATGCAGAAATAGATAACTTATACAACACCTAAAAGAATACACCATAAATGTATTGCTTAGCCCAGTACCAACAGCACTATTCTTTTTTTTTAATTTAAAAAATTATTTTACAGACAGGATCTCACTCTGACTGAGGCCAGAATGCAGTGGTGCGTTCATGACTCACTGCAGCCTCCAACTCCTGGGCTCAAGTGGTCCTCCCGTCTCAGCCTCCTCAGCAGCTAGGCCTACAGGGGTAGACCACTACACCCAGCTAATTTTTTTGGAGGGATGGAGGGTCTCCTTATGTTGCCCAGGCTGATCTCAAACTCCTGGCCTCAAGTGATCCTCCCACCTAGGCCTCCCAAATAGCTGAGATTATAGATACCAGTAGCATTATTCTAGGGACATCTGATAAATGTGTGAAAATTGCATTCTCTCTGTCAAGTAGCCTAAATCTAGTTCACTGGAACAATTTGAAAATATTACTCTAAACGCTGGGGCTCTTTGGGGAGTCTGATAACTCTCTAAAACTATCTGTAAGATTTTGTTTGTTGGATTGTCCTTTTGTTTTAGGGGATGAGGAGACCACACTTTCATAGAATTCTTCAAGAATTTTGTGATTTTAAAAAACTAATAACCACTTTCCTAAGGCATGACAGACGCTCCTGAAGTCCTGGCAGGTTTCTATAACCAGGTTTAAACTCTCCTGGTCTGACATTGTCCTCCTAAGATAGAGGGATCTTTCCACGGGGGATTTATGGTGACTTAAATAAGCTTACCCAGCGGGAAAAGCCTTTGTCACACTTGGGGCATTTGTAAACAGCTGGGATGAAACTGGCATCATGATATTTCCTGAAGTGAACCTTTAGAAGTTGCTTCTGCCGGAAACACTTATTGCAGGAAAGGCAGGTGAATGGTTTCTCTCCAGTGTGGGTGCGAACGTGAGCAGTCATATGACGTGCCTAAGACGGAAGGGGAAGAAAGCAGCTTGTCTAGTTCGAAGTGTCTTTTTCCACATTAGACATTATTTATTGTACAATACCTTTTATTTCCCTCCCCAAAGATGAGTCCATTATTAAGCAGAATTACTGCAAACACATTCTCAACAGGGCGGCATTCACTCTCAGGATGATGTGCCCTCTAGGAAACAAACTTGTATGCGGCGCCAGCAAGTGATAAAGGTCTTGCAGTGAATTCCTTGCCGGCTCTCCAATCCAACTGGGAATGTGGGAGTACACACCTCAGGGCGTGAAAGGATGGTTCCTTGTCCCCTCATGTACTGGGAGTCATCCTTCTATATAATTATTTGCAATTACCTGAGTTTACAAAAGGCAAATAGAACCTGCAAACTTAAAAATCAAATGTCAGAGTTTAAATTCAGCGGGCATTTGGGGTTGTAAGTATGTTAAGTATCTAAACATTTTTCCATTTACCTCCCAATAGTATCATAACAGATCTTAATGCCAATTTTTTTCTGAGACAGGGTATCGCTCTGTCACCCAGGCTGGAGTACAGTGGCAAAATCAGCTCCCCGCAATCTCAAACTCCAGAGCCAAAGTGATCCTACCACCTCAGCCGCCTGAGTAGCTGGGACTATGGGTGTGTGCCACTATGCTCAGCTCAGTTTTTATTTTTGCAGAGACAGGTTCTCACTGTGTTGCCCAGGTTGGTCTCAAACTCCTAGCCTCAAGAAATTCTCCTGCCTCAGCCTCCCAAAGTGCTGGGATTTAGGTGTGAGCCACTGTAACTGGCCTAAATAGAGATTTTAGCTTAGACAGGAGAAAATAATTTGGGAAATCAGGACAAAAATACGCATGAAGTCAGGCAAAAGTACACATTTTGTTTTATTTAAAATGCAATGACTATTTGGATTAAATGTATATTTGGTCTTTTCTGCATTACGGTCAATAATCTAATTGGCGGTCTTTCTTCTAATTTTTCTTTCAACCAATTCACTGAACACTCTCTTCCACACACAGCTTTCATCTCATCGCCCTCCTTTGGGACAGAATCTCTGGTCTGCCTGCTGGGAGCCTGGCTCTTCAGGACAGCAGCGGCCAGGAGTGCCCGGCAGTGCTCCGGGCCTCCGCCGGCGGCCACAGCATGGCTAGCTGCTATCTGCTCCCACACGTCCGCTGCATGCCTGCTCCAGGCCCCTCATCCTCTTTAAGTCTTATCCGCCTTTCAGGAAGCCCTCCTACTTCATTTGAACAAATCTGGGTCTAGGACCTCAGAAAATTATTTGTTCAAAATCTACCAGAAAAACTCTTTTTCCTTTATTCAAAGCATTTACAGTTTACAGCCCACATTTCAAAACACAGTAGGCACTGATTTTCACCTTTGGTAACCAACAGCTTGCAGTGCTTCAAAGCAGTGATTTGGTTTTCAAACTTCGAGTCTTAGGACCTTTTATACTTTAAAAAATTACTGTGGCCTCTGAAGAGCTTTTATTTGTGCAGATGGCATGTATTAGTATTTACTTTCTTAGCAAAACTGAGGAATTCTAAAGGATTTAAAAAAATAAAAGTTTATCTAAATTCATTTAAAAATAACAACAAACCAGCTACATATTATTTTTGTAAAATTATATTATCTATTTTTCAAAACAAAACTAACCTAATGTCTGTCTTAATAGATAAGGTTGCCAGTTACAATATAGGCTGCAACATACTTGTATATAAAACTATTCATGGCCGGGAGTGGTGGCTCACGCCTGTAATCCAAGCACTTTGGAGGCCAAGGTGGGCAGATCACTTGAGGCTGGGAGTTCAAGACCAGCCTGACCAACATGGTGAAACCTCGTCTTTAAAAAAAAAAAAAANTATGTCCTGGGTTCAAGCAATTCTCTTGCCTCAGCCTTCCAAGTAGCTGGGACTACAGGTGAGTGCCACCACACCCAGCCAATTTTTATATTTTTTAGTAGAGACAGGGTTTCACTATGTTGGCCAGGCTAGACTCAAACTCCTGACCTCCAGTGATCCACCTGCCTTGGCGTCCCAGAGTGCTGGGATTACAGGTGTGAGCCACCGCACCGGGCAAGGTAGTATCTTAACATCTGTCCCTGAGTTGTTTTTTAGAAACCTCGATCTTTACCAAACAGATCCCCTGGCAGGTAGACCTAAGATAAGGGGGAACTGGGGGCTGAAATCTGACCATTGCTAAATCTGTTCTAATTTTGTTCTTAATTTCCTCCTGAGAGGCCTGGAGGGACAGGTCATGCCCAAGAACCAGAGCTAACATTCTTTTCTGTTGACCCCGAAATTTTAAACAAAACTTCTCTTCCTTAACCAATTGCAAACCAGAGTCTCTGAATCTACCTACAACCTGTAAGCCCCTGCTGCAAGGTATCTGACCCTTTCAGGGCAATGTATCCTGCATGCACGGATCTACGATTTCATCTGTAGTTTCTGCTTGCTTGGCACACTGCAAATAAACACCTTCCTTTCTTCTGCTGCAAACTGCGGTGTGGATATCTGGTCTTACTGCACCAGGCAAGCACATCCCAGTTTGGTTCTACGACAAGAGATGGCTTCCCCAAATTCACTGAAAAATGCACAAAGAGGCAGGCTTTGGGAAAACTGTGGGTAGCATGGACCTTTGATAACCTTGTACAAAAATGATGGCTGCTAAAGGTGGCCCTTTCTGTTGTGTTTAGGTCTAGTCAAATACTAGCCTGCTTTAAGTCGTTTTTAAATAATAGAAATCAATGAGAAGACAAAATTTATTTTTCTAGAATGCTTCTACTCTTGAAAGCTAAGGCTGATGTTGAACCAAAAATTCAATACATCAGTCAATTTTATAACCATCAACCACATACCATAAAGGTTTTACTATTCTGTTAGCTTCTCTCTCAAAGCTACTGGGCAGAGGTCATGGCTGGCAGTTATGAAACTGTATACAACATTCAGGAATAAAAGTCAAACACTTCCCAGTCAAGCCTATTCATGACACCATCTCATCTAATGAACACTTAGGATAATTTAAGTTAGAAAATTTTCACTTTTTGAAAGGGTCCCAGGCAAAACTGGTAATGGTGTTTAAAGTTGAAATCATACAAAACATCTTGCCTGGTTCCCATTTCGACTTTCCCACTGTGCTTAACAGGACGGTCTGCGTTTACGATGGAAGGACTAAGAATTCATGCGTTAAGTGGGGGCGATGTAACAGGTTGTTTAAACTTCTTCCATTTTATGCTTAGACACTGGGGTTGGCAAATGATGACCAGCGTGTCAAATCTGACTGCCAACTGTTTCTGAAAGAAAGCAAGTTTTGCTGGGACACAGCCAGGCCTATTCATTTACAAACTGCACCCACAGCTGCTTCTGTGATACAAGGGCAGAAACTGATTTGCGTTGCCCTGGTGATTGATGACGCTGTGCTTATTGGCCAGCTGTATGTCTTCTTTGGAGAAAGGTCTATTTAGACACTTTACCTGTTTTTCATTGGGTATCTGTCTATTTACTGAGTTACGAGACTTCTTTTTATATTCTAGATATAAGTCCAAATATGCTTTCTTGAATAGGAGTTCTAAAACTTCTGATTTTATGTTCTGAGGGACAGCATGAAGCAGACTTGTTCTTTTCTCTACATTCTTATTTTTTGCACCAAAGGGCAGTTTCTTCTCTTTATAATTCTACTCGCCAATTTTAACTCTTTACAATTTTAGCATGAGTGACACTGTTTTGGGAGCACTGCCACTGCTTTTATTTGAAAATTTAAACTAATAGGCTTGACATTTCAGAACTATCCCACTGTGCCACTCAGAAAAACACAACTACATTACTGTTTTCTTTTAAGAAGAAAGATTTTTTTTTAATGGTCAACTTCAGAAAATTCAACTTTTTAAAAACTTTTATAAAGTTAGGCTGAAGCCTGCATGGTCCAGGGATCTAGCTAGCCATGTGCAGTGGTTTTTAAATGTCCTGAAATTCTTTGACGCTCTTAATTTCAAAAGAAACTTTATTCCCCACTCCTTGAGTGTGGGTGGGACTCTATGATTCATTTCTTGTGACTAGAAGTAATGTGCCACTTTTTTTTTTGAGACAGAGTCTTGCTCTGTCACCCAGGCTGGAGGCCACTGGTGCCATCTCAGCTCACTGCAACCTCCATTTCCCAGGTTCAAGTGACCCTCCTGTCTCAGCCTCCCAAGTAGCTGAGATTACAAGAATGTACCACCATGCTTGGCTAATTTTTTTTTTTTAGTAGAGACAGGGTTTCACCATGTTGGCCTGGCTGGTCTCAATCTCCTGGCCTCAAATTATCTGCCTGCCTTAGCCTCTCAAAGTACCGCAATTACAGGTGTGAGCCCCCATACCTGGCTGTTGTGCCATTTAAAAGACTAGATTGCAAAAGGCACCGTGGCTTCCTGCTTGCACTCTCTCACTTGCTCTGAGTCAGGAGGACACTCCAGCAGCCCTGCAGAGAAGTCCCTGTGGCAAGGACTGAGAGGCCTGGGCCAGCAGCTGGCGGGTGAAGCTATGCTGGAAGCAGAGCCTCTGGCCCCAGTCCAGCCTTCGGATGATGCAGCCTAGTGGACACCTTGACTGCAACCTCAGGAGTGACCCTGAGCCAGGACCACACAGTTAAGCCGCTCCCAAGTTCCCAACCTGCAGAAACTAACAGATGACAAATGTTTGTGGTTTTAAGCCACTCTATTTTGAGGTAATATGTCATGCAGAAATAGATAACTTATACAACACCTAAAAGAATACACCATAAATGTATTGCTTAGCCCAGTACCAACAGCACTATTCTTTTTTTTTAATTTAAAAAATTATTTTACAGACAGGATCTCACTCTGACTGAGGCCAGAATGCAGTGGTGCGTTCATGACTCACTGCAGCCTCCAACTCCTGGGCTCAAGTGGTCCTCCCGTCTCAGCCTCCTCAGCAGCTAGGCCTACAGGGGTAGACCACTACACCCAGCTAATTTTTTTGGAGGGATGGAGGGTCTCCTTATGTTGCCCAGGCTGATCTCAAACTCCTGGCCTCAAGTGATCCTCCCACCTAGGCCTCCCAAATAGCTGAGATTATAGATACCAGTAGCATTATTCTAGGGACATCTGATAAATGTGTGAAAATTGCATTCTCTCTGTCAAGTAGCCTAAATCTAGTTCACTGGAACAATTTGAAAATATTACTCTAAACGCTGGGGCTCTTTGGGGAGTCTGATAACTCTCTAAAACTATCTGTAAGATTTTGTTTGTTGGATTGTCCTTTTGTTTTAGGGGATGAGGAGACCACACTTTCATAGAATTCTTCAAGAATTTTGTGATTTTAAAAAACTAATAACCACTTTCCTAAGGCATGACAGACGCTCCTGAAGTCCTGGCAGGTTTCTATAACCAGGTTTAAACTCTCCTGGTCTGACATTGTCCTCCTAAGATAGAGGGATCTTTCCACGGGGGATTTATGGTGACTTAAATAAGCTTACCCAGCGGGAAAAGCCTTTGTCACACTTGGGGCATTTGTAAACAGCTGGGATGAAACTGGCATCATGATATTTCCTGAAGTGAACCTTTAGAAGTTGCTTCTGCCGGAAACACTTATTGCAGGAAAGGCAGGTGAATGGTTTCTCTCCAGTGTGGGTGCGAACGTGAGCAGTCATATGACGTGCCTAAGACGGAAGGGGAAGAAAGCAGCTTGTCTAGTTCGAAGTGTCTTTTTCCACATTAGACATTATTTATTGTACAATACCTTTTATTTCCCTCCCCAAAGATGAGTCCATTATTAAGCAGAATTACTGCAAACACATTCTCAACAGGGCGGCATTCACTCTCAGGATGATGTGCCCTCTAGGAAACAAACTTGTATGCGGCGCCAGCAAGTGATAAAGGTCTTGCAGTGAATTCCTTGCCGGCTCTCCAATCCAACTGGGAATGTGGGAGTACACACCTCAGGGCGTGAAAGGATGGTTCCTTGTCCCCTCATGTACTGGGAGTCATCCTTCTATATAATTATTTGCAATTACCTGAGTTTACAAAAGGCAAATAGAACCTGCAAACTTAAAAATCAAATGTCAGAGTTTAAATTCAGCGGGCATTTGGGGTTGTAAGTATGTTAAGTATCTAAACATTTTTCCATTTACCTCCCAATAGTATCATAACAGATCTTAATGCCAATTTTTTTCTGAGACAGGGTATCGCTCTGTCACCCAGGCTGGAGTACAGTGGCAAAATCAGCTCCCCGCAATCTCAAACTCCAGAGCCAAAGTGATCCTACCACCTCAGCCGCCTGAGTAGCTGGGACTATGGGTGTGTGCCACTATGCTCAGCTCAGTTTTTATTTTTGCAGAGACAGGTTCTCACTGTGTTGCCCAGGTTGGTCTCAAACTCCTAGCCTCAAGAAATTCTCCTGCCTCAGCCTCCCAAAGTGCTGGGATTTAGGTGTGAGCCACTGTAACTGGCCTAAATAGAGATTTTAGCTTAGACAGGAGAAAATAATTTGGGAAATCAGGACAAAAATACGCATGAAGTCAGGCAAAAGTACACATTTTGTTTTATTTAAAATGCAATGACTATTTGGATTAAATGTATATTTGGTCTTTTCTGCATTACGGTCAATAATCTAATTGGCGGTCTTTCTTCTAATTTTTCTTTCAACCAATTCACTGAACACTCTCTTCCACACACAGCTTTCATCTCATCGCCCTCCTTTGGGACAGAATCTCTGGTCTGCCTGCTGGGAGCCTGGCTCTTCAGGACAGCAGCGGCCAGGAGTGCCCGGCAGTGCTCCGGGCCTCCGCCGGCGGCCACAGCATGGCTAGCTGCTATCTGCTCCCACACGTCCGCTGCATGCCTGCTCCAGGCCCCTCATCCTCTTTAAGTCTTATCCGCCTTTCAGGAAGCCCTCCTACTTCATTTGAACAAATCTGGGTCTAGGACCTCAGAAAATTATTTGTTCAAAATCTACCAGAAAAACTCTTTTTCCTTTATTCAAAGCATTTACAGTTTACAGCCCACATTTCAAAACACAGTAGGCACTGATTTTCACCTTTGGTAACCAACAGCTTGCAGTGCTTCAAAGCAGTGATTTGGTTTTCAAACTTCGAGTCTTAGGACCTTTTATACTTTAAAAAATTACTGTGGCCTCTGAAGAGCTTTTATTTGTGCAGATGGCATGTATTAGTATTTACTTTCTTAGCAAAACTGAGGAATTCTAAAGGATTTAAAAAAATAAAAGTTTATCTAAATTCATTTAAAAATAACAACAAACCAGCTACATATTATTTTTGTAAAATTATATTATCTATTTTTCAAAACAAAACTAACCTAATGTCTGTCTTAATAGATAAGGTTGCCAGTTACAATATAGGCTGCAACATACTTGTATATAAAACTATTCATGGCCGGGAGTGGTGGCTCACGCCTGTAATCCAAGCACTTTGGAGGCCAAGGTGGGCAGATCACTTGAGGCTGGGAGTTCAAGACCAGCCTGACCAACATGGTGAAACCTCGTCTTTAAAAAAAAAAAAAAGAATTAAAAAAAAACCAAACTATTCATTGTCTGAAATTCAAATGTCACTAGGTGTACTGTATTTTTATTTGCTAAGTCTGACAACTCCATTCAAAGCATTCAGGTGGATTCCTATCTCTGCTCTTCCCTCAGTCCACTGAGTATATTAAGTGATAAAGAAAATCTGCTCTCATGGACACGTAGTTTGAAAAAAGAGCAACATTTTACTAGCTCTTCCAAATAACTGTGGGCATTCTTTCTCCACTATTAGACCAAAGTCAGTTAGTAGTAATTTCTTTTTTTAGAGTCTCACTCAGTTGCCCAGGCTGGAGTGCAGTGGTAGGAACATAGCTTATTGCAGTCTCAACTCCCTGGGCTTAAGTGATCCTCCAACCTCAGCCTCCTGAGTAGCTGGTAGGACTATACAGATAGGCACCATCAACCCAGCTCATTTTTGTATTTTTTTTTGTAGCAATGGGGTCTCATTATGTTGCTCAGGTTGGTCTTGAACTCCTGAGCTCAAGAGTTCTGTCCTCCTCGATCTCCCAAAGTATTGGGACTATAGGTGTGAGCCAGTATGTCTGGCCATGGTAGTTTCTTAACCATGGGTTGCAATGTGGAATCTGGAACCCTGTCAATAAACTTGTTCTCCTCTACGACGTTAAAATCTCTTGGTTTATCTTTTACTTTGAATGGATCTTTTACCTGTGCCTGAGTCTGTAACATCATGGACTGGTCATTTGGAAAATACTGGTTTACTGAGTTACACAGATCTTCTAAATGCTGACATATTTCATTACACAATATAAAAATTGCTTTTAAAAATCACTCCAGTCTTATCAGAAAAATCTTAAGTATTAGAAAGCTGTAAAGCTTGTAATGGTGAATATACATTTTCCAAAATTTGAATTCTGATTTTTCTCTTGAAAAGTGAAATTGCCTCATTGGTCATATGTGTTTCCCTTTTTTTTTTTGAGACAGAGTCTTACTCTGTCACACAGGCTGGAGTGCAGTGGCGTGATCTCGGCTCACTGCAACCTCCTCCCCCCAGGTTCAAGTGGTTCTCCTGCCTTAGCCTCCCAAGTAGCTCGGATTACAGGTGTGTACCATCATACCCAGCTAATTTTTGTATTTTTTAGTTAAGATGGGGTTTCACCATATTGGCCAAGCTGGTCTCGAACTCCTGACCTCAGGTGATCTATCTGCCTTGGCTCCCAAAATGCTGGTATTACAGGCGTGAACCACTGTGCCTGGCCTACGTTGTTCATTTAAAAAAAAAAAGTCCACCAACACCCAATGACTGAGTAAATAAAGTTCGTTTATCTTGTTCCTTTCTCAGTGAAAATGACATTCACTGAGAAAGTGGCTAATTGAGCTGGAAACTCAAAGAAGCCCCAAGTGCTTTCCCTCCAGGCTTCAGATGATGGAGGTGCATATGCCAGCTTCTCATCACATCACAAAGAATATGTAAAACACAGTATTTCAGGTCAAGATTGAATAAAGTTAACAACTTTTGCTGCTTTTTCAAGGACACTGTCATATAAAACTGCCCTTTATTTTTGCTGCCAGTGTGTGAAGGTGAAGAATACTGCAATGACCTGTTCTGCTGGGTGTCACTGCCTTGATCTGGGCTAAGGACCACCACTACTTTGGCACCGAAAGTACAAATGTCAATGTCTCAAAAGGGCAAATGACACCTTTCCATTATCCTAACAAGGGCTTGGCTCTTGCGGGCCCCTAGTTAATTGCAGGGACCTCTAGGGGTATGTGAACATACTTTAAGAACTGCTATTTCGAATGACTGGCTCACCATCGCTTTCTAGTTATTCTGACTCTTCTCAGTATTTTCAAAGTGGTAGAGAATCCCATCCCAACTCTCCATTCTTCCACGCCCCACTGCCTCTCCAAATTAAGTAAAGTACAATACCTGCTTGCAGGCGTAACTGCAGTGTTCACACTTGAACCTCTTCTCATTTTTATGAGTTTTCTGGTGCTGAATGAGGGCATAGCGTTCATGGAAGACAGCAGAACAGTAGCGACATTTCAGCTCTGCAGCACTGTAAGTATGCAAGTTGCGGATATGGACACCTGAAACAGACAGAACATTATCTACATCAAGAGTGTTGCTTTCTGTTAGCCTGCTTCCCTTCTCTCCTACATGGGGGTTTCCTTCCTGGGCAGGGCGGGGTGGGCTCTCCTGTGCGCTGTAGGGTGTTAAGGATCATTCCTGGTCTTCATCTACCAGGTGCCAGCAGCACCTCCTCCTCCCCAGTTGTGAAAGCCAAAATACCTCTAGATATCACCACATGTCCTCTGGGGGGTAAAACATTCCCAGTTGAGAATCACTGCTCTAAACGAACAGAATGCTGAAATATCATTTTAATAGTTTTTCAAATGGAGTTAAATGTTATATAAGGTATGTCATACTGGACCTAAAATGTTCATTTACCAAAGCACTTGGAGAACTACCGTATTATGGGGTAGGTGGATTTTAGGATGATGTTAAAGTGGATTTATATAAAAAGATATAACATCTTTATTTTACCTTAAAAAATCCATACATTGTTAGAAGTCAGTGCCCTGTGATTTCCTATGTTAAAATTAACCTGATAGACCCAGTAAGGTCTGGCTGGGTATGCTCTAGGGTAAGTTTTGCTCATCTAAGTCTAAAGAATGGTGGCTTTGTGATATTTGTGTAAGAAACCAAATGACAATCGATAGCTGCATGATAGAGGTATTCCACTTTACCCACAGTGACTCACACATTTAGAGAGCCTGAATTCTCATATAGTTATGGGAAGGAAGAACTAACGTGCTTATAAAGCATCCCACAGGCTATTCAAAGTGTATCACCCACTGGCATGAGATAGATATAAACTGGGTTACTCTGCCATGGTGTCAAAAAAGTCTAGCAACTGGGTAGACTTACGCCCCACTGGGCTGTTTCGTGATGTGCTAATATCTATGGCAACAATAACAAAATGGTCCAGATGAAAAATAAAAGTTAAGACTCTGTGAAACACCCTTAGCCTTTCAGAAAAGTTTTCAAAAAGTTCATCTTCTCTCCAGAATTTCTTTGGCCAAAAGGGTAAATATTTTGTTTTGCTAACATATTTTGCATATCACAGTGTTGTATATTTTGGAAAGAGAAATAGGATCATGGAAAAAGGGAGGCCCAAGAATCCTGAAACCAAGAAGAGGCTCATTCACTCACGCTTACCCACACCTTCCCTTTCATTGCTCAACTCTGGCTGGCTTCCCCGCAGGCAGCATCAAATCCCAGCTTTCCTAGGCCTGGTGCTCCAAGTCCTTCTGGACTCCCACTCCCACTCTGTGATGTCTGACAGTTAAAAGGCTCACCACGTCAGATGCGGATTATGCATTACAGACTCGCCTCCTTTCCCCAAGTGACTGTCCTAAGGGGAAAACTGTGTCTTTTGTAAATTCTGCTCCCAAAACTCTTTAGGCCCATAGCCAGGGTTTAAGAAAAGGTGGCTGGGTGTCACGGAGAGAGCATTGATATATAGGAACCCAGGATCCAGCCACTTCCTAGCATCCTTGGTCATGTGACTCCCAGGCAGGTTTCTCCATGTCTCTGTGCCTCAGATCCTAATCTGAAAAACAGGCTGAATGTGGAATTAAATAATACCCATCTGTGAAAGGTTTTAGCATGCACATAGGGAACAGGCCCGGGCCCGGATTCTAAAAACATGCTATAAAATGCACTTATGAGATCCGGCCACCAGATGGCGCAACAGGACCTCTGGAAGAAAATTTGTCCCAGGGCGAAGTTCCCAAAGACCGGGCATCCCAGTGTCAGGGCCAGTACTTTGCAGGTTTACAGGACCTCGCTCCAAAGAGCCAGCAAATATTGTAGTAAAAGAAAGAGCACTAGAACAGACACTCACGTAGGTCACTTTTCCGTGCAATGATGGTGGCACAATGGGGACACTGGTGTTTGGGGACGTTTTCGTTGTGTTTCTGCTGAGTATGTATTTTCATGGTCCCACTCTGCGTGAAGCGGGCGTGGCAGACGTGGCATTCGTAAGGCTTCTCACCTGAGATGTAGACAACAAAGTGATTCCCCCTCCAGGCCTGATCCTTGCCGAAGGACACCTGTGCTGAAAGCGTTTCTTTTTTTTTTTTTTTTTTGAGACAGAGTTTTGCTCGTTACCCAGGTTACCCAGGCTGGAGTGCAATGGCGCGATCTCGGCTCACCGCAACCTCCGCCTCCTGGGTTCAGGCAATTCTCCTGCCTCAGCCTCCTGAGTAGCTGGGATTACAGGCATGCGCCACCATGCTCAGCTGATTTTTTGTATTTTTAGTAGAGACGGGGTTTCACCGTGCTGACCAGGATGGTCTCGATCTCTTGACCTCGTGATCCACCCGCCTCGGCCTCCCAAAGTGCTGGGATTACAGGCTTGAGCCACCGCACCCGGCCTTAAAGCGTTTCTTTTGTCCCAAGCTGCCCCTTCTCACAGGACAGTCCCCAGTTAGTATGAGACTCCCCAGTCAAGCCAGACAGCTTATGTCAAGTACAGCTGTGTCCAGGACCGACCAGAGACGCAACTTTTCTGCATCTGGTAGTAATGCAAAAGTTTAAGGTGGTTCACATCCATGGGGTTGTATGAAGAACCAGGAAGTGCCCATAAATGTATTCTTTACACAGCCAGACATCAAGTACCTGTGTTGTTTTATGTTTTGCCTTAAAGTTGAAGAATGAATTAAGGAGTTGATTTTTATTGTGTTTTTATTTACTTATTTTCTTTCTTTTGAGATGGGTTCTCGCTCTGTTACCCAGGCTGGAGTGCAGTGGAGTGATTCCGGCTCACTGCAGCCTCAACCTCCCAGGTTCAAGTGATTCTCCTGTTTCAGCTTTCCAAGTAGCTGGGATCACAGGTGTGCACCACCAGGCCCAGCTAATTTTAAAATTACGTGTAGAGACAGGGTCTCCCTATGTTGCCCAGGCTGGCCTCAAACCCCTGGACTCAAGTGATCCTCCTGCCTCGGCCTCCCAAAGTGCTGGGATTACAGGTTTGAGCCACTGTGCCTGGCCGGGAGTTGAGTTTTAAATACCTGAAAAATCTATGGAGGGAACTGCTTCGTGTTTTATGCTGCGCAGTGGGGTTGCAGCACAGTATCTATACAGACTCTCTTACTGCTAAATAAACGCAAAGGGACAGACCAAAATCCTCGTATCCCAAAGGCATACAAAAATCCACTTTTACCTTTGAACTTTAACTGTGCCAATAAAAAGTAATTTTTTAAAACTTGCTTTAAGAGCTAACACTGTACGTTATCAGGCCTTCAGCACCAGAGCCCTTACCTGAGTGCGTTCTCATGTGGCGTTTCAGTTTGTAGGTGTCTCTGCTGGCGTAGCTGCACTGGCAGCACTGGAAGGGGCGCTCCCCCGTGTGGGATCGAACATGGCGCTTCAGTTTACTTGCCTAATAAATACGTAAAAGATGTTCATTGCAATGGAAACTCAAAAATTGCAGTGTCTTCCATTAATCAGCATTATAAAAGAGATTTCAATGAATCAGATTTTAACATCAGAGCATGAGAGCATATTTCACTCACTGAAAAAACATGAAAAAGTCATTACTTTTTATCATTTGTTATGGGCAATTTTATTTCATTTAATGTGTGTGTATGTATAAGCTCCTTTAGGGAAAACGAGCAGCACTTCTGAGAGGCTTTCACATTCAGCTTCACTTCAAGCCCACCTGCCGAAAGCCATACCAGACTTTATTTTCACTTCTAGGACAACACATTCTCAATAGTTACAAAATTTACATTACACTATAAAAGCACAACAGCAAACATTTTTATTTCTTGCATAAAGTGAAAATTTTGAAACTCTAGCTCTTGCTGGGTGTGGTGGCTCACACTTGTAATCCTAGTACTTTGGGAGGCTGAGGTGGGTGGATTGCCTGAGTTTAGGAGTTTGAGACCAGCCTGGGCAACATGGCAAGACCCTATCTCTACCAAAAATAAAAAATCAGCTGGGCATGGTGGCGCATGCCTGTGGTCCCAGCTACCTGGGAGGCTGAGGTTGGGAGTATTGTTTGAGCCTGGGAGGCTGGGGCTGCAGTGAGCTGAGATCATGCCACTGCACTCCAGCCAGCATAACAGAGTGAGACCATGTCTCAAAAAATAGAATAAAAATGAAACCTTAGCTCTTTAATGGAGGGACATCTGTATGTGTCACCTCACGGTCACAAGTCTTGCAGATTCCACCCTGGCTGGCCCCAGGGTAACAGTGTGAGTGGAGGAAGGTGTCCCTGGCTACTCAGCATCGATACCATGTGACAGTGGGATCCTAAGAAGAATTAAGTTTTAAGCAGAAGAAATTAAATTCTAATTTGAATAATTATGTATCCCAGGCAATCAGTTAAATAGCAAACAACATAACACCTCCCATTTGAGCATTCACTGCCTGACTGGTTTATTGCCTTCTAGAACTATTCTTATTCTGTATTTGTGTATGGCAGCCCCTATCTACCCCTAGCAGGAAATCGGACTGTCAACTATACGTGGACTACAGAAGTTAGGAAGCCACATCAGTCCTGCTGGTGACCCAGGGACGCCACATTCCACCTACCTCCCCAGTAAGTGATGAGCGCACAGAAGCCTAAGGAACACTCAAGAACAAATGGCTTACAATGGAAAACAATAGCCAAGCCAAAACTTTTTGCTTAGATTTTTAGAAGAAAAGTGAATGCTTTCAAGCATATTCGCAAAATGAAAAGAATCTTTAAAACTATAGAGCATGAAAGGTCTGAGGAGGATAAGTGGTGTAAACAAGCAGAGAAGGCCGCTATAAAAAACTCTGGATGACTCTTTTTTTTTTTT